AATGACCACCTTCTCACGGTGTTAATTTATTCTTGTACACATTTCTGTTGGGGAGATCATAACTCAGCTGTACCGGGACAGCACGAGGAAAGTGTTCGCCACCGTTACATTTGTAATGGGGTTTGTCTCGGTCTCTCAAGGCTGGAGCTCCTGAGCGCACCTCCCTCCACGAGCCCCAATTAACGCAGTCCTGGAGCAAGGCGGGTCACATCTCAGGGAGGGAGAGGAAGGCAGAGGGGCTCAGAGCACGTCGACCTCATCAGGACGCAGCCCACTGCCCGACACCTGCGCCCACACTCGTGGGCTGATTAATGAGCTGTCACTTTAGTTGTTGACTGGTGAATTATTTATACTTATAAACCGCTAAATAATTTAAAGCTGATATCTTAAATTACAGCAGAGAGTGACAAGGAGAAGGTGGCCTACAATTTCAAGTGGGGATCAATACCCCTGTTTGCAAGGTGCTTTCTCCTGGCTGTCCTCGGAGGAGAAGGGACTCAAAAAGTGTGCCGATTTAAAAAAAATAAAAACATTTAAAAAATAAAAAAAGTGCGTCGATTTGGTGCAGCACAGGAGGGGGAACAAGGTGCTTCAGCAATCAAAAAGGAAGTTGCTTTCAGCAAAACACAGGATACCACTCTGAAACGCACTAGTATTTGATAGGAAATGATGACCTCTGGCTTCAGAATGTAATCACCAAATCTAGATCTACTCTGTGTTTTAAACATTGCCCCCAAATAGTTTGCCATGCTTGGTGATTCCTGAATATCTGGTTATTTTCACCTGGGACTATTAAATTCCATTTTGTTTTCCTTTTATAACACAGCAAAGATGGCTTAGAAACTAAATATTCAATAATGGAACACATGATGGGATAAAGGTGCAAAGTGATAGAATCGAGACGTTTTAAGTTGAAAGGAGCAAAACAAGGGTCTCCTGAGAAGAAGAGAGGCAGTCTGAAGAGTTAGGCTGTACAGGTGCCACACAGAAGTTTCAGAATATTCAGGGAGAGGGAGGAGCCCTCCCTTAAAAGTTGGTCATCCTGGGTAAACCAGGGAGAAGAGCATGTGTGATGGAACTAGTAGATAAGCATGTTTTAGGACAGCATTGCAATATTATAGTTGGGATTTTCCATTAAATTGAGATTTCCTTTTATTGTGTATATTGTGCGGTTGTGTGTGTGAGTGTGTGTTTTGAGACAGTATATAACAGGGAGAAGGAGTTATTCTAGGTTCACAAATCCTAAGGCCTCTTTCTGCATATAATTCAAAAAAATTTTCTCTCCTTTGGCTTTTATAGGTGAGTTTTGTTTTAATATGAGGTAACATTAAATATTTATTCTTAAAAATTGACTTCTGGTGCTGCATTGGCCTGCTCTGAAATTACTATGGCTTGTCTGTCATTAGAAGTTTCTTACAAAGAGCTTTTAAGAATATTTGCCCAAAGTAAAATAATTCTAGTTCTTCCCAGCCTGTTTTTTGCTTGAAAAAGCAAAAGGTGACTTAAGTTATCTTCTTTGTGTGTCCATAAAATATATTGTACTAGGATGACAAGTAAAAAGGTGACATGGACTTTGGGGGTATATGGAAACTGTTTTAAGCTCTGGAAAGCTTGGTCTTTTATGACACTATAGACAACACCTGCTCGCTCAAAGCTTTGAATGAGTCCATGGTGCACAATGATACCCTCTCGTTTTAGAAAGGCATCTTCTGAACTTTTTTCTCCTATAATAAAATGATAATTTTGCAAGCCTACTTGTAATTTTTCATTTACCCTTCTCCGTATTTTCAATAGACACTGTCATTTTGACTAAGAATAGGAGTGAAATTCTGCACTGATAAAGTCCCAAACAAGTCAACCTCCTCTTCCAGGATAGCATAGAAATGTTCAGTGACGCAATTATATTTAGTTTCCAAAATTAGATATAATCAACTCCATCCCTGTAAAGGTTAATAGACACTTGAAAACAACAACAAGTGATTTGATGGGCTTCTAAATTTAGGCTACAAATATCAAATAGCATGGCTTAGTGCTACTACTTATTCCTAAATATTTAAATACCTGTCAGTGTAACACTATGTTCACTATATTCATTTACAGCAAAGGGGGCAGCCACATACAATGGACGGGACAGGCAAGGAGGACCCTGTGTCCACAGGCCTGAGACTGCCACTGCCTTGAGATAAGGAGAGGCTTGAGGAGCAAGGCACAACTCGCCCACGATGGGAGTGCTCTCCGCCCCCTACAGGCCAGACAGAGAATCTCTATAACCTGTGGTGGTTGAGGGAAGGTTCTGACCACACAAGGTTGAGACACTCTACACCCTTCCAGGGAACATCTGGGCTGGCAGACACAGCTACCATGAACTAATATGAACTCTTGGCTTGGGAAATCTCTCTGTGCAGGCCAGCAGACTCTCTCTCCCGCTGTCTTCAAACACATGACAGGAAATCTCCTGGGAGCCCCCTGAGCACCATGGAGAGGCCATGGGAATCCTAGTCATATCAGACAAACCAACCCCACCACAAAAACAATAAGGACAATGAAAACTAAATCATCATTGTGATCCCAGCCCACAAAAGCATGCTAAACATTATAAGGTGATTGCATGCTAAAATAAAAGATGTGAATAATACCTTGAAAATCTTAGCATGATACAGAAAGTGCTCAGGTTGCAATTAAATATCACTTGTCATACCAAGAAACAGGAAAATCACAATTTGAATTAGAAGTGACCAAGATCGTATGACAGCTCCGAAGTGCATCTGATGCTGGAATTATCAGACAAAAATCCTAGTGCCCCCATCATAAGAATGCCTCAACTAGCAATTTCAAACACTCTTGAAACAAAAGCAGAGGAAATCTTAATGAAATTATAAAAAAGTAAATGAGAAATTATGGATCTTAAATGTAATCACTTATTTTTAAGGTCTTCTATCCCAAAAATGAAATCAAAGCATTTATCTCTCTATAATAATTTATTCTGCAAAAATGGTTTACTTATCACAGCCAAAACCTAAAACTTAGTGGAGAAGTCTTTCAGCAGACAAATGGTGAAACAAGTTTCACTGTGTATGTAACCTGGAATACTACTTAGCAACAAAAAGGAACAAACTATCTGAAACAACAGAAGATATTACGGTACATGAAATAAGACAACTCCAAAAAGAGATTCAACTGTGCTATACATTTATACAAAAGTTTTGAAAGACAAAATTTTATAACTTCAGAGTATGTAGGGGCTGGGGATTTAGCTCAGCCGTACAACGCCTGCCTAGCAAGCACGAGGCTGTGAGTTCAATTCCCAGTACTGGAAAAAAACAAAAAAAAGCAAAAAAAAAAAAAAAAAAAAAACCACTGGAAACAGAGTATGTGAAGTTGGTAACAAAACCAAGGCCCTATGTGGTTTTGACAGCTGTGTATAAATAGTGGAAGGCAGGGAGGGGGAATTTCTGACATTCGTGGAGCAACTTAGCACAGAGACTAACATCAAGTAATCACCCTTCAAAAGTTGCCAACCTCTGAGCTGCGATTTAGCAGCATAACCCAAACACCTACAGAAACTGCAGGTGGTATCTTTTGGCTCTAAATTACAGATCAGTACAATACAGACCAGAAGACTCTCACAAGGGGTCACGAGATAAGTAAGCAAATCTCCCCTTCAGAGTAGCAAATCGCACCAAGAGGCAGAAGAGAACAATGCAACGCTGCCAGCAGTGGCATTCTTACTGGAAAGAACCAACGTCCCTGGGACAAAAGGGCGAAGGAAGGTTGTGTACCTAGAGCAGGGTTAGAGATTGCCTCTTTGAAGAAGGTGGTGGTGAACAGAAGCACAGCTTTGCCCAAATCAGTTGAACAGGAGTGCTCTGCCGACCAACCCTGGTTTCTTAAGCAGTGATATTCTAAGATCCTCTAAAGTGCAAACCCTGTCTCATTTAATTTTGGCAACAGAAAAAAATTGCAAGTGAAGTCTGCACTCTCAGGTTTTACATAGTAAAGATGAACAAACAGATACTGGAAATTTTAAAAGGTGAATAAAATGATTTAAACATACCTTTTCCTGGTACTACAAAAGAAGCCAAAAATTTGAGGGTGCCGATGCTATCAATAATAAACACAAAACACAGATGCATTCTGGGGTGATATGACTGAAAAATAAGCAAAGGAAAATAGAGCTAAGAGAGCTAAGACATATTTGGGGTGAAAGAAAAAACTTGCAAAAAGAAAAAGCTAAATTAGTAATAGGTTGAGAACAAATAATTCTCTACAGAAATAATAATTAAAAAGCAAAAGCAGAAAGTTAAAATAACCTAAAAAGTAAAACTAATTCAGTCTAGATCTAAGGCAAAGGGAAGGAAGACCCAGTATCTTTCGTAGAGTCAAGAGGTGAAGTAGAAATCCAAAAACAATACAACAACTGAGACACACACACATCAAAACTCACTGTATTTCTAGAGGGAAGAACTGGAACTAATGGAACCTAGATATCCAAGTGGGAGCCTTGCTTTATTCACTGGAATATTTCACCAACACAATCATTGTTAAATAACATTTTACTAAAACTTCATGACTTAAAAAAAAAGACTTTTAGGCATTTAGGCAAAAAAAAAAAATCATGGATGAGGGAAAGAAATAATATTGAAGCTTCCTAGTCCAGAGTGACACTTCCAATCAGAAAAATACGCAACATCACACATGGGTGTATTGGCAGCTCTCCCATTGCTGGCCCTATAACACGAAGAGGAGTGGTTTCATTTGCCTGAGAGTTTAGAGCATTCAATTCATTGTCAGATGATCCAGGACAGAGACTTCAGGACGGCGGGGTACCAAGAGGAAATGCTGCTGAACCCAGGGAAGTCTGGGAGCAGAGAGAGAAGGGAGTAGCCGGCAGGCAGACACACCCTCCAAAGCCACACCCCCAGTGACTGGCGTCTTCCAACGAGGTCCCACCATCTGACGGCACAATTAGCCGTGAGCTCATTAGTGAACCATTCCCAAATGAGTATAGTGTCTCTGTGATCCCATCACCTTCCGAAAACCCATTTCTGAACAGGTAAGCCTATTAGGGGAATTTTAGGTTTAAAACATAATAATGAGACATTCAAAGAATAAAAAAAAAAACAGTAAAATGGCTCTACTTCAACCAAATGTACATTCAAAGTAAGGATGAAAGAATAAGAAAAATTTCTACAAAAACATGAAGTATTTTTCCAAGGGTTTCTTCCTGAGCAAAGGACAGGGGTTAGACAAGAGGGCGAGGCCTTCTTGAGAGACTAAACAAATTTACCTGCGGAACAGACTACGCGGTGATATTGCATGTGCCTAAATAGCACGTACATGCTGTAGATCCTGATAATGCAGACACATTAATATTAGAAGGAATAGAGTAGATGAAATGGGAAAGGAGAAAATGGAAAGTAGAATAAGATTACTGATAATTTACTGGGTGTTAAGCAGATATCACTTTTAATTTAAGGCTAGTAGAAGAAAGGGGAGAAATAAGAACAAACTTTAGGGTATCGCTACACAGCATCTACAGAAGAGAAGATTAAATCTTTTATAAAATCGTTGTGAAAACATAAAATCAGCAGAACAATATTTCACAACTTTCTATCCCAAGAAATCCCATAAGATCTATCCCAAGGAAACTCAGAAAGTACGTAAGAAAATAAACACCAAATACAGGGTCCTATCCATAACCATGAGTTCTTCACTACTTAGTGTGACTAACTATGGCTCAAAAATATTTTATGAAAATGTCTAAACCTAAAACATTCAGACTTCTTTACATTGTCAATATTCCCTAACTAATGCAGAATACCAACTGTTGACCTGTTATTTGCATTGTATTATATGCCACGTAGAGATGGTTTAAAGAATATAGGAAGATGTGGTTAGGTTCTGTGCAAATGCTATACCATTTTAAATAAAAAATTTGAGCATCTATGCATTTTGGAATCACTTCCCCAGTAGACACTGAAGAATTACTGTGATGTGTTAGAACCAAAAATATCGACAAATAAATTGACTTAACTCAATAATTAAGTTTCTCATGCTCCTTAGCCAAGTTCTTTGCTGTCAAAGGAAGAAATCCCACTGTATAATTAAAAGGAAAGTGCTAGAATGAGCTCGGTCAGAGTCTGAGACACTGGCATGAACCCATGAAGAAGCAGACAGACACGGTTATAATATAGAGATGTGTGTGTAGCCGGATTACATATGCACAAGTACATTTTCTCTGTGTGTTTCCTGAGAGTGCTTAGCAGCAGTGATACTACTGCAGTGAGAATACCCAGCTTCCAAACACTGGGTTCTTAATACAGCTCTCCAGGAAAGGAAGGAGACTTCCATGGGAAGGGCAGGTTCTGGGGCTGTGACCTTGAAGGTACAGTAGGAACCTGGAAGGTCCTGCACTGCCCCAAAGTGCAGCGGTGTGCATGTTTATGCCACTGAAGAAAGCCGCCTGTGTCCAAGACTGGACGCTCTGCACAGCATGACATTGCCTGCTGGGTGAGATCAGAGCGTGAAGACTAGTGAAAGACCACACACGTGTGCTGAAATGAACGCATCACCAAGTAAGCAATCCGAGGGGATGAAGGACATCCCCGCTTACAGATGAGCAAGGATGCAGAGGCACCTTCCTGAGACGTGGAGCTGAACTCCTCTGCTGCTGGCTGTGCACTAGGCTAGCAATTAACTTCCAAGCAATAGGGTAGTTAGAAGGAAACATGGGAACTGCAGACAGACAGACCTGAGGTGCTTCCCTAATCTGACACATTTCCACCCCTACTTGGCCATCCACACCTCTCAGAACAGACGCTGGTGGGAAAGCAAGGCAGAAGAAACCTTAATACAAAATAGAAGACTACACACAGCGAAGCAATGTGGGCCGTGACTCACCCTGGATGAGCACGTGAGAAATGGTGTCTCTGCTCCTCCAAGCTCTCATTTCTAGGGATCTGGGGCCCTGTGCACTCACTTCCCAGCCTTATCTGTGAGGCCAGCAGAGCGCCCCATTTACCCCTCGTACATCCATCCAACTTCAGTCGCTTCAATTCCTTCTGCCCAGCTCGGAAACCTCAGAAGCTGCTGTTATCAAACAAGACACCTGGTAGCCACTTTTAAGGTGATCTTTCTTTGCCCCAAAACAATTGCATTATAATAGTGGAGGAGGTGAGCTGACATCATGAATGAATTAATTTCCCATAAACATAAATTCCATTGATCAGTTCTAAAAATATTGGATGCTGGATGTGGAGAATTGGAGACAGTTAAATTCGTAATTATTGATTATATGTATGAGCTCACGAAATCAGCAGAAGACTGTACAGAGCACACTCTGGAAGTGCCCTGTTCTTAGACAAATCATGTGAGAAGGGATAGGCTATATTGTGAAGAGCAGTGAAATTGATTCTTTCAAAGTTTTTCCTGGGAACATTTGAATTTAAGAGCATATGCAAATAACCCACACATACACTTCTTACTTGAAAATAATTGGGTCTATTTAATCCTCTTTAAACAAAAACTTTCCAAGAATATAAGTCAAACAAGTGCACTGAGGTCAACAGGGCATAAAAGGCCATGTTTTATCTCCATGAAGAAAGCCTTTCAAGCTTTCTTCATGGGGGCTTTTGAAGTTCTAGGATTCAGGAAATGCTTCAACATTTGGAAATGTGAAATTGCTAGCTTTCTTACTCAGCAATTTCTTTTGCTCAATTAGATAAAATCAGAGAACTGTAGATACTTAGAATGAGAGACTCTTTCAGAGTGTTTATCATTGATCATTGATTAGTTTTGACAGTAAAGCATCAAGACATTGGCCTCCTCACTTTGCTGGTCGGGAGGGTAGTACCAGTTCCCACTTGTCACTTACTTAGCCATTTTGTCAATGACCCGAGCACAGGACGATCTTGCTGCTAGCTGCTTTCCCCGCCGAACTGACCGGTCTCCTCCTGTCTTTTGCACTATAGTATATTTCCCTCCTACCATGCTGAGCAGATACTTTGCCATTTTCCATTTCTCTTACTGATGTATCTATTGATCATTTCTCATTCTTATTAGTTCCCTCCCAAGAAACGAGAATCTTGGTTCTGTTGCTTTGTAACTTCTGGTGTTGAAAACAGGTGCTTTGTTAACATTGGTTGAATGAATATTGAAAGGTCCTGTTTAGTAATTTCACCTTTATTCTTTTTCAAACACATCTTGACTTTAAAAACAGTCAAAACAAAAACAATGCATTCCTTGTGAATTTCCTCAAGTATTAGACATCCTTTTAGATTAGAAAGTGTGTATATTATGATTTAATGGCCTGCCATAAAAATTATCTCAATAATATCAGAATATGTTTTACCTTTCAGCAAAGTGAAGAATGTTGAAAATATATGAATAATAGACAGCTTTTGAAACTCACTTCCAAATGAAGATTTCACAGAAATAGAAATCTGATTTTAGAGTACAGTCAATAAAACCTCAAGTCACTGAAAAGGACTGCATTTTATTTATTTATTTTAATTTATTTACTTCTACGTGGTGCCGAGGGTGGAACTCAGGGCCTCCAGCACCTGGCTGCGTGAGCTCTCCAGCTCTCAGCTACACCCCTGTTTGTCCTCTGGAGCTGCTTTTGCAGAGCCTCCCGTGAAGTGCAGCACCTCGTAGCTTGCGCCCAAGCGCTGATGTGCTGGCAAGAGAGGAGAGCAAGCTCCAGGCTCCCTGCTAAGAGCCGAACCAAAGAGGAAGGTCAGACTCTCTCCATACTCGTCTAGCAGTGGAAGCTCTCTGCTGGGCCCATCAATACCCCCTCTAAAAACACACATCTTACTGCACAGAAAGCCATTCCAATTGGAGATCGCAGCTACTCCCTGCTGATCGTGTGTAAGAAGTTCCCGTGCTTGGGCTCGTGTGTGAAGACTAATGTGGGAACCAGGGCTTGGCAAACTTTCTCTGTAAAGGAGCAGATCATAAATATTTTAGGCTTTGTGGGCCATGCAGTCACTCAACTCCGCTGTTTCAGCACAAAAGCAGTCACAGAAAATATGTAAAGGAATGCATACTGGTATGTTCCAATAAATCTTTATTTACAAAAATGGGCAGAGGGCCAGATTTGGCCCAAGGGCTGTAGTTTGGCAGCTGCAGTGATCAAGGACAAGTGTGAGGATGTGTGTTAAACATACACCAAGAGAACTATTCAATTTTCTAAATACGGTGAAAGTATATTCAATATTATCCCTATAATAGCATGCTTTATGCAGAAAGTATTTGCTTAGAAAAACCTGCACATCTGCAGAGTTTGCGCTATTCCATGTCATGGTGTTCTGTAACCTGGTAAGACTAACTGATGAGGCCTGTGGTAGTGGGAGATGTAGGAGCAATAACTAGCACCACCAGCTCATTCTCTACTGGCTCTGTTATCCTGAGCAAGTCAAAGAGTGTTTATCTGCTGCAGTCTTTGAAAATGAATATGGTCCTCTGCGTAGGGTCCCTGTCACTCATTCATGTGCTAAAGTGCTTTACAATGCCTGTGACTTTCAGACCCAGCTTTAAGGTGTAGAGGAGTGACCCGCAGAACATTATGAAGTGAAATATGTTGTATGAGGATTATGCACAAAAAGAGAAAGAGAAAATCTATCTATCCATCTATCTATCTATCTATCTATCTATCTATCTATCTATCTATTTATCTATCTATCCCTATAATCTATCTGTGCATAGCAAGTGCTTTATTATCACAATCACCTCAAGTGATGATGGAGGCCATGAAATCCCACCACTGGTCCTCTGTAACCTGAAGACCAGGGAAGCTGCTGGTGCAGATCACACCCAGTGTCAAGGCCTAAGCTGCAGAGAGCTGACGGCGGAAACCCAGGGTCTGAGACCTGAGCTCCTCTAACTGCCAGGGGCCGGAGAAGTCAGCTGTCCCAGCTTCAGAGGAGGGCCTGAAGCTTTCTTCCACCTTTCTATTCCACTTGGGTGACAATGGACAAACTTCAGCATCCCTAGTCTTCGGAAAGGAGAGAATGCTTGCAATAAAACACTTAAGAAGGATCCCGGAGATTATAAAGTAGGGCACAATCAGCTGCAGGATCTCAGAATGCAAGGACAAATTCCATGGAACTGTAAACGAGCCAAAAGTTTCAGATAGTAAACAAAGTGGCAGATCTTTGAAATAGAGAAGCAACAAAAATATGTGCGTTTCCTTGCGCTGCTCCCCGGAACTGTTTTCCCAGAAACGCATTCTTTTTAAGGACTTCTTTCCATTTGGTGTCTACTACTATTCTTGCCATATTTATTCTTTGCTTTCTGCATGCCCTTTGCAGAAGTTTCTAATTTACAGCTTTCCGCCACTCAAATTGTCCTGTTGTTTTCCTCCTAGCTTTTAATTCTCCTCTCTTCTCATTGTGAAACTCGCAGACTCTGTAGACCACAATTTATTTTGTATCCTTACCCATAACATCTTGGCTTCAAATTTAGGTCCCTAAGCTATCTAAATTGTTGTGCTAACCAAGTTAAATCCCAGAGCTTAGAGCAGCTACAGGGAAGGTTTCCTACATCTCATCCTGGTGCTGTAATTGAAATTAAAGTAAATTATTCACACAGTGCACATTAACGTTGGCGCGGCTCCTTCTGCCTTCTTCCCAAATGACATTATGAGTTATGCCAAACTAAACTCATTTCCATTTTTGATATGGTTAACGAGTGGTAGATGAGGAGAATGCCATTGACTGAATATAACTTGATTTCAGTCAGGCATTCAGGGAAAACAATGACTCCCCGTGTTTTCTTTTGGACACAACTGATAAATGTTAACTGCATGATACAAGGATATTTAAACAGAAATTGCCCAAGATCTGATTCCTGGATTGATAAGAGTCCGAAAGAAGAACTCTATCTCCACTTGTTTTCATCAACATTTCTTTGACCCAGCCTTGGTCTATAGTGTTAGCAACGGGCTGCCTGAAGTTTACATCTATGTATTCACAGTGGTTTCAGTTTTAGATGACAGAATTCTAGGATAAAGAAGGAAGACGGAGTAAAAGAAATACATTTTGAAACAGTCTTAGTGAAAATATTCTCAGCAACTTTAGAAAAATGAAGATCTAGATGAGGACTCAATGAGAAGGAATTCTGTGCTATCATGTAAGCATATTTTTGAAGATTGATCCTCTGAGATGTTTTTAAAAGAGGGTGAAGCTGAAAGTATAGGTTGTGTGCATGCGTGTGCGTGTGTGAGTGTGTGCATGCATGCTCATGTGTGTCCTAAAGAAAGACAGCTGGATAGAAAGAGCGTATTACCCTTTCCAAAGTTATCTCTGAGTAATGACATTGGATTATTGTTTTCCCCTTCCTTTCTAAGATTTCCTTAAATTTAGATAACAGTGTTCCCTGTCCAGTTCTTTTTCATTTCTATTGAGATGACTATTATTAAAAAGATATAAGGTAAATAACTGTGAGAACATGGAGAAAAGTGAATGCTTTCTACACTGCTGTTAGAAATATGTTAGTGTAGTTATTATGGAAAACAATACAGAGGTTCCTCAAAAAATGAAAATACAGTTATCATGTGATCCAGCAATCCCACTATGGCATATATAGCAAGTAAAAATGAAATTGACATGTCTAAGAGATAATCCCATGCTTACTGAAGCACTATTTGCCATGGATAGGCAAGATATGGAGTCAACCTAAACGTCTATCAGAGAGTAAATGGATAAAGAAAATGTGGTAGTGATAAACAATGGAATTTTAGAAAATCATAAAAGCAGCAAGTTTTACCATTTAAAGCAACATGGAAGTATCTGGAGAGCACTACGTTTCATGAAGTAAACCAGGTGCACAGAGAAAAGTATTCTAGGATTTCCTTACAGAGGGTGGAATCAGAAGTTTGCTAGTTGCTCTCATAGTCAAGGAAAAGGAGGATGGTGAAAATGAAGAGAATCTGACTAGAGGAATTCTAATGGAAGCGTACATATTTACAGTGAAGTTACAGCACAAAATTCAGGAGAACTATCGTACAACATGATGACTATGGTTAACAGCCAAATATTATAATCCTGAACATAAAGGGAATAGATGCAAATGCTCTCATCACAAAAACTATACCTCTATGCAATGCATTGGATAATGAACTAAATTTAGTTATTCCATAACGTTTTTATACTTCAAGGCATGTTTTACACGGCAAAAACAATTCTTACGTAAATTGTTTTCTAAAAATGATACAAGCTGTAGATAATTTAAAAATTGGTCATAAAATTGAGCAAGAGGGTGTGTAAAACCTTGCAATATTTTTTTCCTCTCCAAACTGATGCCAAGTTCCTGGAACACGAGGCTGCCCTTTATCTCAAAACCGTCTCGTGCTTTTGCTGTGAGACACAATAGGATCTGTCACAGGGGACAAGAATAAAGAGAAAGCTGGTGCTGTTGGCCCAGGCATTTAAAAGAATTCCAATCTGTGTTTGTTCCCATCATGCATCCCAGGTCCTCCCGCATGAGACGGTCCTCACTCCACTGCTGCCTACCTCCAGAGACGGCTGAACCCTCAAACCTGTGCGGGTCACAGAGGCCACGTGGACAGCCCTCACTCACCCCACCTGTGTGCTCACTGCCAAGCTCCCGTCCAATCAGGACCAGAATACTGACTGCAGCTATGCGCCAAAGAGTGGCCCCCTAGGTGTGCATCAGTCACCTTGTCTCACACAGGGTCCCCCGGGCTGCAAAGGGAGAGTGAGTCTCTCAAGGTTGAACGATGAGATGAGAAGGCTTGTGTTGGTGAGCCTCAAGCACCACAGGTGCGGCGTTAAGGTCTCCAGTAGCCCCTTTGCCATGAAGGTAAGTAACTTCTCTAAAAGTGCACACCCTTGTTCTGCTCCCAAGATTTTGTTTCATTTCTGTTTCTTTCTCTATATCATTATGCATTGGTAAAACTTCACAATTTCCCCCCAAACCAAGGAGAAGCCCTGAAAGCCTGTTGGACATAGAAAATAACATAGGCTAGCAATTCAAAAATTTGTCCTTTTTGTAGGAAAAGAGCAGTCATAATATTGAATTTCTACTGTTTAATGAGATATTTAAATTACATATAATCAAGAGGAAACCCATTATTTTAAATGATTTAAAGGCTCCCATATGAAGGGTGAAGCACAGAAGTCTTAGAAGATATTCCTGCTGCCTGCCTACCCTCCAGCCTTGCATCCTAATTTCTTTCTCTGCTGCTCTTAAATAAAAGAGATTCTGGGAGGGTTGGTCAAAAATGGACGTGGCTTCTCCATTTCCCTTGCAGGGCCGTGGGCAGCAGGTTTCATTGACGTGCAGCTCTAATTAGGATTTGCTTTGCTAAAAATAGCTCACCTAACTCTTCTGTCCTTTGAAGCAAATGCCAGGAGACCTAGAGACATTCCCCATCCAGTCGGTAGCAGGTCTTTGCAGCTGGCAGAAATGCGTGACAGGTCTACAGTCTGCTCAAGTTTGTTTTTTTCTTTCTTCTCTTACATCCAGACTATGCCATCGCACCATGCCATGGGTGGTACTTGGACTGAGAACAGACTGCCCAGCACCCAGAACTGAGAAGAAACATGCTGGTTTGCAGACACTGAACCAGAAGTACATGGACTGGGTTCTCTCATAGACGCCCTCAGTGAACTTTTCTCTGAATGACTGTGTATAGGGAAGAGAAGAGGGTGTCACCTAACACAGGGATCGATTCTTCCCAGTGATACAGGAGCTTTTGAAACACACCCGCTCAGGCTCAACGGCATCATTGAACGAGTGGTTTCAGCCAAAAGGTGGTTATGTCCACATCTGTAGCACATCTGCACATATCTGCTCATCACTAGGGTGACCATGTACTGAAGTTCTCTGGCTCAGGATAGACAGGAAGACACACTGACCCATACAGACTGTGTGTTCACTGGGGCTCAGAGTGAGACGCCTGTCCCTGTGACCCACAGGACAGTGACTAAAGGCAAAGTGTGGACCAGAAAAGAGAGGTCAGCTCAGGAGCCTGGGTGCTCAGGTCCTACGTGACTTCCCTGTCCAGACCCAATGGTTCTTTTTTTTTTTTTTTTTTTTTTTTTTTTGAGCTCTCTTAAATTCTAACCCAACTAAACTGATGTTCTTAAGGATAAAAAAAAAAAAAAAAGGGAAAACAAAATTGTGGCCTGGTACATTACTTGTACCTGTTTGTGAGGCAACCTTCTTTTAAGGTGTGTTTTATTATTTATTGCAGAGTATAAATATTTATTGAGTGTGTGGCAGATCTTTTATCCACAGAGGACAAAACAGCATCAACAACAAACATACAACACCCTAAACTCTTTTTTGAACCCCATCAAACAGATTCAGGCTGATTACAGCAGTGAGCTGCGGCCCGTGGGCCGGGGTGATGACAGTCGTGGCCTTCCCAGGGGTCCTCAGCACGTCCCTGAGCCGTAGGACCAGGGAGCACTAGAAGAGACTGAAAGTGGCAGAGATTTAGGTTAGAGCTTGAAAATCACAAGCCTTCAGGATTTCAGCTCTTCATATCCTTTGTAACCACGGAAATGTCAGATTATTACAATTCAACCATTTATAGGCTAAAGTAAATTTACAATCTTCCCTACTTTGTAAGCACTAATAACATGATGTATTTTGGTTAAGTATTGTGAATATTTTAAGGGAGTCACTTGAAAATACTTACGTGAAGGTGTTCTTGAAACAATCTCCCACAAAATCTGCGTGAAGAAATTGTGGTATCTCTGGCTGACCACTAAAGAAAAGTATTAAAACATGTTTTCATACTAAAGTCACTTCTTGTTATGTTATTTCTGGTATTTGTTTCTTTGTGGATTCTGGAAATTTCTCAGCTTTAAGTGGGGTTAAAACTTCTTGTTTTAAATTTTCATGACTATGAAACCTTTCTATGCAGTTCTTTGTCACACTCTTTAAGATTTTCTTTCTCAATACACGACAGCCACACAGCCACACACAGCACTGTTTGCATCTCAAAGACATGCGACACTACACTCATCAGGATAATACTGCTTCTCATATCGTGCCGCCTAAAAATTCAGAGGTTGACTCTACAAGCCACAAGATGGTACCTACGAAATGGGACTGAAGGAGGGGATAACGCTCTAGCCAGGTCTACCATGGTGCTCTGAAGGCTGGCTGCTCCTCTTAATTCAGCGCCCTGCCTTGGCTGCTGGCCACACAACAGACAATGCTAGGTGCAGAAAGAGACAAATTGCTGCTATAGCCTGAGCATGGCTTGTGTCCCCCACCATCCCTCCTAGTTCACGGTGCTGGTCTCCGGGATAGCGCTAACAAGGAGGTGGGGTACATTTCGGTAGATGATGTCTAGCAGTAGGTCCATGGGTCATTGCACCTGTGATGAGAAGGGATTAGGGACCCCAGACGCCTCTCTTTCTCTCTCTGACTTTCTGTTTGAGGTTGTAATGACTTCTGCATGAAACACTCTCACCGTGGTATGCTGTCATCTATAACCCTTATAAGAAGCCAGTCAGTGCCCTGCCCAGTATTAGATGTTGAGCTCCGAAACTGTGAGCTAAGAAAACCTCCTTTTCTTTGTAAGTAGGCTGTGTCAGGTGCATCATGATATTGACAGAAAGACTGCTAATCAAACTACCTAACACGTGAGTCAGTTAATGTAGAAATGAATGATTGCTTCCATTAAGTACTGGTAAATTGGAAAATCTTTCTGATACTTAACTGTGAAAAAAAATCCTAAAATTTTCCTATGCTTCAACATCAAAGTGACTTATTCATTTTTATTACAGAAGCAATCCGATTCTACTAGAAAACACAATATGCAAAATACAACAACTCATTTGAAATTAAAGAAATGAATAATAAAGATAGATTTGAAAACCTTGTTTAACATGTTGCAGATTTATTTCTCCCAGTCTGCAAAAATCTAGAAAAGTGTTCTTATGGAATTTGTAACTAGCTTTGCAGAAAAATATCTTACAGGGACCTTCCCACATCCCAAAGCTTATCGTCTACATCATTTGTAATGGTGGCATATCATGGAGTTATGCTAGTATCTTAATTTTTAAATTAGTTTTAAATCAAAGCTTCAGCATATTATCTCTAACCATTATTTATCTTTTAGCAAACACTGCTATTGGTTAAGTGTGGAATTATCGTGTTTCACGTTTAAACAAGTTTTACAGTTGATGAAAAAGTGGGTTCTAGACTTTTTGCAAAATGCCTGACTTGAAAATTTAACACCTTGAGCTTCTTTGGGGCCAAGATCCCCACTTTTCCTAAAATCTCTGCTAAGGAGAAAAATGAGACTTGTTTATTTAGATGTAAAGGGTCTGTAAAATATAATGTATAAATATACATCACTGACTACATTGCAGTTTTCTTCATTTAACACATTTTCTCAGTGATCTCTTACTGAAATACTTTCTTCAGTGATCTTTGCCCTCCGAGGGAATATATAAAACAGCACATTATAAAATAAAATATACTTTATATGTGCACAGTTATCTTTATGAAGAAAATCCTCCTTGTAAATTATGATTTCATTAACTGCAGTAATTATAACAAAAATAGCATTATGGATATGTGATGCTTTATGTAAAAGCTATAATTATAACCAAAGGGAGAAAATCTTTACATTAAGTTAAAATTCGGTAAACCATTTTGATTTGTGTAGATTAATTCTTTTGCTCTTTTTACAGTGACATTTTTTCACAATAGAAAGTGTGATTTTAGGCATAATAGCTATCTTGCAAATAAATATTTTGCAGAGAAAGAAAGGTAAAGTGAATTCCCCACTCTAGTTGATTACAAAGCCTATTTAACTCAAAATAGTCTTGCAAATAGTCACTCACCCTTTGGTCCTGGAAAAGTAATGATTTATGCCAAGCACAAGGCAGAAAATATACTTAATTTATTCATTGCACAACCTATACACCACCTGAGGGGTGGGGTGGGGGCGCTGGAAAAACATTGTGAGCTAATAAATTATTTCTCCTTCTTTGGAAGCCTGTCACTATGGTATACTGCCAGTAAAGCTTACAAATTATTCTTATTCTGGAGATGCTGTTTAAAAAAAAAGAAGTGTATGATTAAGCCTGCCTATTTTTTCATATAAAATTTTGATAGGAAATGGATAAGTACTTGAGTTTCCACTAAAAAAGCATGAACAATGAATGCATGTAAAAATAATAGAAAATTTCCATGATTTTTTTTCCGTTTGTCACATGTTAAAATTTATTTTCCTGATTTCTGGACCCTCTTCACGTGAACACTCTCTGAAAATGTCAGCATTTGAATAAACTCCCAGCTCTGCTCCTAGGCAGACGTCTACACAGTTGATATGATCCAGATAATTCATGCAAAAATACAAAATTAAAATAAAAACTCTTTTCATTGCCTTTGTAAGGCCCTTATTTCTTTTCTCTTGACCTGAATTACCCCCATTTTAGCTCTTTATAGAGCACCGATTCAAAGATAAATATTGACCCAACACTTTATTTTCTGTTGTGTTGGCTTGGCAATGTACAGCCAATAAAAGCTACATGAAAGCATCCGAACACTCGATTTAACCCTGAAAATTTGCATTTATAATTGATGGTTATGTTTAGCTGATTAACAGTATAGAGAAACACTCTGAAGATTACCAGTGAATTCCACTTATTTTGTAAAATAAACCCTAAGTAAGACACTAGTGGAATTTCAATCTACCCACGATGAGTTGGATTTAAAGGAGTTGCATGTATTGACTCCTAAATTAATTTTTCTAAAATAAGATAACATCAAGAGACAAAAAGTTCAAGAAATAAACTCAGCAAACAAGCTGAAATAATGAAACGAATATTTCATCATACTTAAATAGCTCAACTGCTGCATGTTTTGAAGCACTCCAAAAACAAATGATTTAATTTTACTTGCACTTAAATTTTAAAAAGTAAGATGATCCAATAATGTTGATGATGTGAATGGACCCAAAAATATTAAAATTTCGGTCCTTTAAAGTTGAAGAATTTAAAATTAAGAAAAAAGGGGGGCCTTCTAAGGATATTTCTTTTCCATTGTGGTGTTCCATATTTTAAAAATAAATTCTCTACCGAAAAATCTTGTTAGATTCAGTGAAATCAATAAAATTCACATATACCAATTATATTTCGTGGTAATTTTAGACAGGAACACAAATTTAAAATTGGTTTTCTTCATTGCTACCGAGAACTTCAAATTTTATCACTGACTAAGAATGGGGAGGCATAAAGCCCTCTCAAATTTTCTCTTTCAGCGAAAACTCGTGGCATTTGATCAAAAGTAGAACACGGGGCAGTTGTTGGTTTTCTAGATTTTCACAGGCTTTAAGGACGGCAATTAGAAGAGCAAGGCTGCCTTCAAGGAAGACAGGTGTGGACCCAGACCCCTGGGCCCGGATGGAGACCGCGGAGCCCGTGGCCGATTTCCTGCTTGCTCAGCATGCATTTGCCGGGTCCCTAAGGAGTCTGAATGCTGCCCAGGATGCTGTGGGCACAGAGCTGTGACCGTGCATTCCATTTCTTTAGGGCTTCCCCTTACTCCACAAAGGATTTCAGAAGGCACAAAGACACTCATCACAGCAATACGGAAAACAGTCTGAAAGGATCTTCAGGCACTGGAAACCGGACTGCAGAGTCCTCCCTCAATGCGCCAGCAATCTCTTCTGCAGGCATAAACGCAAAGTACATAAAATCGTCACCTGGCCAAGATACTCGCAATCCCACACTTGCTGCAACGTTATTCAAAATAGTCAAGGTACGCAGTCAACCTATGTATCTGTCACAAGGTGAATGGATTGAAAAGTGTACCGTAGGCCGTGGAATATTATTAAGAATGAACAAAGGAGATGGTGCCTTTATCCATAATGGGGACAAGCCTGGAGGATATTCAGCTAAGTGAAATAAGCCAGACACTGGAAGAAAATATCACGTGGTCTTCCTTATAAGTTAAATCTAAAATATACATGCATGTGTAATACATACATTAACACAGATGATATATATTATATCATCTACATAACCAAACATACAGAGAAAATAAAATGGTAGATACCAGGGGCAGGAAACCATGGGGACATGTAGGTCAAAGGGTATCAAAGCGGCATGAATGACTCTAAAGATCCCATGTACGACA